CCCTAACCATTCTATGATTCTATGATCTTCGTGTTTTAATATAATTTTATCTAATAATTCCAACATTCCATGTATAATCAGGCAGTTACGGTTGTTACCTCCAGTGTCATAAGAAAATCTAATCTTGCGTAACAGTGCTGTGTACAGAAATGAGAAAAAACTGACTTTCTTCTTTTTTTCTTTCAGTTTTTCAGCCGTGGGCCAAATGTGCTGCATCAAGACATCAGTGCACCTCAAGCTGCGTTCTTTTCACCTCTTCAAAAAGTGATGTTGCCACCAAATACCTTTCAAGGGAAAGTGGCCTTTATAACTGGTGGAGGTACTGGGATTGGCAAAGGGATGACGACAACTTTGTCCAGTTTAGGTGCCAAGTGTGTTATAGCAAGCCGGTAAATATTAATGAAGATGTTTTAGAGCTTTCATTTAGTACTGAACACTGACTAGATCTGTTTTCTTATTTATAATGGATCTTGTTTTCTTCTTCATAGAATGGATAAATTTGTCCTGTTTATTTCAGTACACTTTTAAATTATAATGGCATATTGTAAATACCAGGAACTTGCAGATCCATCTACAAGTGTCTAATGGTGTAACCAGCAGTAGTAATAGTAGAAATAAACTAAACACATTTCCATGAAATGCAGCATCAAAATAAACAACCCAGCATATTAGACATAAATTCAACTGAAGCTTGAAAAAGAACACAAAATTGAGATGGCCTTTGCTGAACATTTGGAATGTATTATTGCAGAAGCTCTTGATACAGATTTGAATTGCAGTAAAGAATTAAAGCCATTCCTCTTCATTCTTGAGACTTTAAAAACAGCCCTGATTTTCCCTTAACAAAGATGATCTTTAAACAGTTCTCTTACGTAGCGCTACAGCAAAGACTAGAAAAACAATCTAATTTTTAATCGAAGTAAACAGAAGTATTGTGACATTCATCCAAATAGTGGTTTAGATATTTAGTTTTAAATCTGAATATGCATGTCCCTTCAAAAATACTAGTAGAGTAGTAGCTAATACTAAGTTTGTTACGATTATGCACTCGGAATGAAAATATTTTTTCTAGCTCAGCATGTTTGGTTAGCTAAAGATAGTCTCTTACTGTAGTCACTTCTGAGTTTCCTTGAAGATCAGCCACACACGTGTGCTCACACACTTATTAAATGATATTTTAAAGTTTAGCTCATATTTGCTCGGAAAAAATCACCAGATTTTTATTAATCTGAATTGTAATTGCATTTAATTGAAATTTAGTGACATTTTATACTTATTTCTAGGAAGCTCGATGTTTTGAAAGGAACAGCAGAAGAAATTTCTTCGAAAACAGGGAATAAGGTAAAGTTTTACAGAATTGAGAATGTATTAGTTACTGTACTTTAAGTGGTTATAGGATTTTTATGCATTTTTGTGCTTCAGTGGGCTTGTTTAATTTATGAGTGATATGGTTTTGAATTCTTACAGCTGCCTTTCCATTTATTATATAGGTTCATGCCATCCAGTGTGATGTGAGAGATCCAGTTTCAGTTAAGAATGCTGTTGCCGAACTAGTCCAAGTGGCAGGACATCCTGATGTAAGTGCTCTAGTGAAAGGAAGGAACTTCAGTCTTCATTACTGAAAATTCTCTGCATAATAGGTATGGAGAAAATGACTATGATAGAAAGTTAATGGAATTTAAAGAGACACTAGACCAAAAGTGTCTGTACGTCAAGATAAAGCTAACATTAACAGACTAGTTACTCTATTCCTGTTGCTCTTCAAATACTTAGCGGCCAAACAGACCAAACATTGTTGTCCTTACTCTAAGGACTAACAATTTCTTTGAAAACAGTGGGACAGTTATGATGGGAATCTTTGGATTAATTAAGTGAACAGAATATTGCCCTTAAATCCTCCTGAAAAGGTGAGTGACCTGTGTTGGTACCAAATTACACCTGTTGCTCGTTAACAGAACATCTCACAAATTAGAAATGGAAGTAATAGTAAAGGTCTTCTTTGGTCCTTGCTTAGCTCATTAAAATACACAAAGAAGGCTTTAACTTGGAAACTAAATTCTTGGAAACTAAGTTCTCATAAAATCAAGAAAAAATCTTCAGTCAGGGTAAGCATCTGGTTTTTAGTAGTTTGGCATTAGCCGTTGACATCAGGCTGTTGCTTTGAGAAGGGTGGTCTGGTGGAGCCTGAACAATGATAGGCCCCAAATTCTGGTTTGATCTTGAAACAACTCAGATTCTGCTAGCTGATAGAAAGCATGATGAGTATGTTAACATCGATGCAAAGCATAGTCAGTGAGATTTAGAACTGTTTATTGTAGATTTAAAACTGTCATGTGCATTGTAGATGCTTTGCATTCACCAGTAGCTTCCTGCAAACATGGGAGAGAACCTACTGAATTTTAAATGTGATAAGAAGTGGAGAAACTTTTTCTCACAGCTGTATGCTATAACAGTGGTATAAAATAAGGCAGGTCACTGTCCTGATTTGTAGACAAATACCTGGATAATATTCCGACTACTAATTACTGCATTTTTTGGCCAAAGCACACCACAATCTCCAGGTTTTAAGTGTGTGCAGAGGAGGAGGAGACTTCTTCCTATATATTACATTTTTAGTACACCAGTAATTTTCTAAACAAATAGTTCCCATGACTTGTTCTTTACAGGCATTTCCTTTCTCTTTCATTTCACATATTCTGTGTGTTTAAGAGACTGCAGAGTAAATTGAATATTCAGTTCTTGTTGTCTAGTTTTTCTCCTAGTGACAGACACGACATATATTTATGAATACTGCAAGCCCGGGTATTACTGCCACTGTGCATGTGAGGTGAGATCTCAAAGATAGAAGTTAATGGCAGTATCGTGTTCCTTTTAGCTTTGTTTTGTTCATTTCATCCCCAAAACTGTTGCTCCCAAGTAGAAAGCAATCATTCTTTTGTCACAGGAATTGTTTTGGCGGTCATTTGTATCTACATACCTCAAAGATTGTATCGTGCAATCCTTAGTTCACTGGTTTTATTATTATGTCTTCACTATATTTATTCAGTGTTTCAAGTACCCCCTCAGTATCTTGAGATGCTTGGATTTCATTTTAATTTTCTTCAAAATGTAGGAAGGCTTTTAAATTGTATTTGACATCTGTATGTATAATTTATGACTATTGTGTTTTATTTGTTTTATTTAATGGGATATATGCTATGCTCTGTTTTTGTATCAGAAATTCTAATGTCTTAATTTAGCTCATAAGTTCTTCAGGACAGACTTTGTTTTATGTCCGAACCTGCATGAATCTGATGCTATTCCATAAGTAATACACTGTTTTATTGCTTCAGCACATTATATTATTATTAAATACACAAGATCTGGCCACATAGGTTTTGGTTTAAGAACTGCTTAATGTGGTTCTTAGTCCCCTAAAAAAAGGTATCCCAACTGCTAGCTTAAAGGGCCAGGCAGATGATACATTGAAAGTATCCTCTGCCTAATTATTGTTTGTAGAAAGGCAACAAGCGATGGATATACATCTGAATGGAAAATGTTTTGTAGTAGTTGCTTGCAGTTCTCTAAATCATAATTGGATCTTTCTTATTTTTCGTTAGACTTCCTGTTATGCAACAGTCAGCTAATCCAGACTTTCATGATCAAGATACATGAACGTCTTTTGCTTTTATTCCTCTGCATTCATTCCATTAAATATGATATGTGATCTTGGAACTTGGTGGGGACAAACTTTTCTGTTAGGATGTACTTGAGACGCTATGGAAAATAGTGACTTAAGTCACCCTCTCATTTGCAATTCCTCAGAACTAGATTAGTAACTACAGCAGTTTGGAAATACATCTCATTTTCTGTTACTCATACATATCTATGCTGCTGAAGTTAAAATTTCTGATGGACTATTTTCTCTCTCTCTCAGTCCCCCTCCACGTCCCCGCTACTCCCTTTCCCCCTGTACCTCTTTTGATGAGGATATTTTTCTTTTCTACGTGGAAACACTAAGAAGTTCCTGATAAATTCTTTACTTTCTCTCTTTGTATTCTATGTCTCTCTACTTCTCTTTGTATTTTTAGCTAACTCTTAGATTTTTCTTCATGTGTTTCAGGTTGTGATAAACAATGCAGCTGGAAACTTTATTTCCCCTTCTGAACGACTTTCTGCTAATGCATGGAAGACGATAACTGATATTGTGCTTAATGGTACTGCTTTCGTAACGCTGGAAATTGGAAAGGAGCTCATTAAAGTACAGAAAGGTATCTTAAGTTGAGGATTAATGGTAACTAAGCATTGTAACGTAATATTATTACTTGCTTTCCTGTCCTTTCTATTATTATAGGCAGTTTTGGGAGTTTGAAAAAAACCACAATTTTTAATACTCTACATATTTTCTAGAAAGAAGCTTCATTTTGAGTAAAGCCGTGCTTAAACATCACACAGCAGAACTGGCTAGCAGTTACTTCATTGTAGAGTCTGCCCTTAAAATTGGACCCGGACACCGTGAGGTTGAATAAAAAAAGCTGATTGCAGAGTTTGTACTAGCTGTAAAACATTTTTACATTTTTAAAAATAAGACTCTGTTTAAAATATATATTGTTTTTTCTTTTGAGTCTTCTTATCTATGTTGGTTTCATTGTGCAACTGAACATGTGGCATTTATGTAAACGAACAGCAAGTCAGGGTATCAATTTGACTTTTCCTCCTTGCTTAAATAAATAAAACTCATAGCTGTGTTATTTGACTAATAGCACCAGAGAACATTAAGTTTGAGATAATTTGAAAAAGAAATTAAAAATTGAAATCAGTATTAGGTCTTAGTTTCCCAGGTATAATTCTTAGTTCTAGACCACCTAGGAGGTTAATCCAATATTTTGGCTTTGCCTTAAAACTATGATAGTTCTTTGGTATACTATTTAGCCAAGGATTTACTTAACCAGATTATTGTCTTTAAGGGAAAGATAATGTATGCTCTTCTGTGTTATATCATAGATGATGTAAAAGAAGCTGCTTTCATTTTACATTAACATCTAGTTATGAATTGAAAAACATTGAGCTTAGTTTTTGATCAGAATGATATCATCTCAAATAGCATTTAAAAGCAATGAAGTATATTATGGTTTTCCATCTGCCCTCAATTCTGAATCCTATTTTCTAGGTGCAGTCACTATGTTGAAATAATCCTTTTGTATTTGCACTGTATTTCTCTCACTCCTGAATTAATTGAATTTCTTCAGAACTCCTCTCCAAAAAGTGCTCAGTGTGTTTATGCTATTTAATGATAACAATATAAAGTTAATGTTGCTTCAGTAAGTCTGTAACAGTTTTGGTCAGTTGATGAGGTATTTCCCACATATAATTTAGCAGCACATGAAAAAAATAATTTCCACCATTCTAGTGCTAGTATTCCCATGCAGAAAACCCATCCCCAGCTCTGACTTACTATATCAGTATAGCAAACTACTGTAATTGGCAGGCTTTATGGCTTCCAAATGCATGCAATGTCTCCCTACAGTAATGTGAAATACAGCTTTAAAAATGCCTTTGTCTCTGCTGCTGTTGAATGAAAACTATTTTCCTTGCTTCCACCTTCAAATTCAGCAAAATCCAGAAGTTACTTCCATGTTGTCTCTTTTCCTTTCACTTGAAGCTTCCAAAACATGTGAATTTCTTTTGCCATTACTTGCATGCCTTTTTTCTAGGGGATTCAATCTCTATGTAAGACTTTTTATTTAAGGCTTTCTTTAAGACATGTTTTTGCAAGTAAATCAAGTGTACCTGTTTGTCCTCTCATTCTCCACCTTCATTTTATTTTTACTTGCTTTTTTTTTTTTAAGTTTGAGCAGAGACTTTGGTTTCTGAAGTGATGGAGATGCTACCCAATGCAAATACAGTCTGTGAGGGTGCTGTACATCTGACAGTTACTAGAACACTGGCACATCCTTTAGATCTACAGTGTGACCTACGTTAAACCTAATTTAGTAAATAATAAAAGTGCTCTACTTTTAGACTCTACATTTGTACTAGTATTTAAAAGGGATTTGTAATCTGCTAGTGCGTTATTTATTTATGCAGCAAAGTTTTACAAATTGAGAGGAGTTAATTAGATACTGTCTATTTTATGAATATAGGTTATAGAAATAAAAATTGTCTCTGAATTGAAGTGTGCTTTAAACTTCAGAGCTGTAAAACTCGTTCTTGCTTCTGTGTTAGGTTCATCCAACTCACCTCTATTTAACTTGTATTTTAAAAATTCTATGGTTTAATTCTGCAAAATATATAATTAACAATCAACTCTAGATAACTTCAGAGTTGTTCTGTGGTTTTTGCCTGTGTTGATTTTTCTTCTCAAAGTTTCTCACTGTAGACTACTTTTTTATAAATAGGGTCTGTGTTTTCTGGGTGTCTGCTGGCATATCTGTTGATGCTTGTTTATGATTCCTTGTAGTTTCTCTTGTGTAACATTACTGTAAATTTTTAGCTGGCTCTACTTAATTGTCACATGCATTCTATCAGTAACGTTTATTGTTTTAGAAATACCCCTTGGGTAGCTATTCTAATTAAATTATTTTTAAAATACAGTAAGTAGAACAGTTATTTTAGTTACTGTGGCGTAAGTAGTGAACTGTCATCCCTTGTCCTCCATTTCCCAGTTACAGTAAGTTCATGCCTAGTCATTGATCAGACAATTAGAATTTGCAGGCTTCTAGAAGAGAAAGATTAAACAAACAGTTTCAGTTTCCATTATTTTCCATAATGTTTTTACTAAATCTGTTATAAAATATGTAAAAGAAAGTGATCTTTTTATAATGCAGTTTGTTGTGATAATAACGGGAAAAAGTTACACAGGTTAAATTTGTCATAAGCTCTACTGCAGAAGAAGTTTCTGAAAATTTCTTAAAACCTCTTTTTTTTTTTTTTGCATGAACTTTAAATCAAGCCTTAAACTGTGTCATTTTAAGATCATGCTAAACCTAATTGTTAATGCTCTTTTTTTTTTTTTTCCGGCAAGAGTTGATGAAATTAGGGTAAATTACCTGCTTAAGGACTACTGGGCTAGGGCAGCTTCTATAAAGACCCTGTAAGATCTTAGGCTTTCACTCCAGTTAGACCGATTTGCACGTGTAAATTCATTATCAGTAAAAATCTGAGGGTTTAGACCTTACCAATACTTATGTACACTTACATGCAGCAACATTCATGGAAAAGAGGGAACTGAGATAAAAAGACTTGAAAGCAAAGCTTCCAAGACTAGATTTTTAAAATATCTTTTCACAACCCAGAGTGAAATGACATCACTAATGCTCGAGCTGCAAACTTCTGTACCACTGAGGTTGATTTTTACTTTATGTTCAGAGTTTGATCTTCATGCATTTTTTGTTTGTTCATTGTGGATTTAATTTTTTAAAATGTTTTTGATACTTCCAGGAGCAGCATTCCTGGCTATTACAACAATTTATGCAGAGAGTGGTTCAGGATTTGTGTTGCCGAGTGCCTCTGCCAAAGCTGGTGTAGAAGCAATGAGCAAGTGAGTAGTACAGCAAAACGTGTGTTCTGCTTTTCACATCCTTGAGATAAGGTTATTGATCTATGAAAATGGAGCTAGTTGGTATGGTCTTCCTATTCCTTTGTATCCTAAGAGAACCTTCCATCCTGCAGTCTCCTAGCAAGAAAATAGTATGCTGACAGCTTCTTACAGAAGGAAGTATTAACTGCTGTAATTGTGATGATTTTTATCACAAGGACGAGATAAGGACAAGTGGAAATACTTCTTTTGGCAACAGCAAGTTCTAAAGTTTCAATTACAAAGTTCTGATAATCAGATTCTCTTGCATTCTCATAGGTAAACCAGCACTTAAAGCCAGTTATTAGGGGAATTATTTGAGGTCTATAATGCCTTGCACTTTCTTTTGTCTCAGGAAAAGGTGTACTTGTACTTGGGTGGAATATATTGTTGCTTCACCTATGTAGTTTCATAAAGAAATGTATTTCCTATCACTATTTTAAATTAACGTCAGTTATACTTAGTTCAGAACAGCATCATGTGACATGCAGGTTACTCAGCAAACAAAAGGATTTCTATCATTATTAACTATAGGGCAGTCCTTCACAGCAAATGGATCCGCCTTTGCACTTCGCAGAAGGAATTGAATAGTTTGGCAGCCTTGTAGTTAGCAGAAATCTTTATCCAGAAAAAAAATGAGAGAAGGTCTTGATTTCTGTTCTATAAAGCTGTAACTGGAGTGTGTACTTTTCAGAGGCTTTATGAGCCAACTAATTCATTCACTGTAGTAGATCATCTATCTGAAGTATTGCTTATGCAGAGAAAATTTTGCCATAAGGCAAAATTATTCTACTGGTCCCATTTTAGAATGTAACCTCTGGTTTATGTTACTTCAAAACATCTAATATGAGATCTGTGTTGTAAATGTTAGAAATGTATACTTGTAGGATAGTCTACATTACCAGAGAAAGATGGGGGCCTAACAGTTGTTTGTCAAGGAGTTTAGGTGCCAAAATAATCTGTATGGTTTGTGAGAGAGAAAGAATTGCTCCTTAATGTTGCTTTATCTCTGATACATCTATTAAATCCATGTTCCTTTGTTTGTGAGTAGGATTTATTTTTTTCTTCTCTGAAATGTTTTTGTTAAGAACATAAAAACCCCTTAAGTAGAAATACCTCTTGCAGGAAAATTCTAGTATTTACATATTTGATTCAGTTTTAAATAATTTTTTTTCTGAATAGCATTATTTAAATATTGTGTTTAAAATATTGATGCATTCTGTTAATGAATTTTTAGGTCTCTTGCGGCTGAATGGGGTAAATATGGCATGAGATTCAATGTGATTCAACCAGGTCCAATAAAAACAAAGGTACATAGCATGAAGTGAAACAGAGCCTTAAATACAAGTTGTAGCACAGACTTAACTTTAAGGTAATCTGACCTTTTCTGTAACCATTAAATTCAAGTATGATTTCCGTGGTAGTCAAGATTATGCTGGAATATTGGACACACTACTTCTCAATAATTCTTTTGTAAAATAGAGTTTCTTGAACTTTTGAAACCTGCTACTGCCCCTCCTACTACATTAATGTAAATGGAATTTTCTTTTAGTGTTTCAGTGAAATGCTGTATCAAAGTATTTGATGTTGATTCTTACCAGCTGTGCGTATCTAGTTTGTCAAATGAAGTGAATTCTTACACGTGGTGGAGTAAAAGTGCCTATTTCTGCCTGAACTCCTGATTTTTAAACAAAACATCTCAACAATTCCAAAATTTCAGACTCTCTTTTAGGTATATGAGAACAGAATCTCACTAGTTTTATTTGAAATAAGTTATAACGGTTATAAGAATGTTGAAATAACATTACAGGATCAGACCAAAAGTCCTCCAGTCCTTGTATCTACTATCTTTAGGCAAGAGTAGAAGAAAAACATTTAATGACATTTCTTCATGTCTCCAGCCTCTGGCAGTGCACGGCTCAGGGAGTTTGATACAGTTGATATCATCAGACCAAAAGTCCTCCAGTCCTTGTATCTATGATCTTTAGGCAAGAGTAGAAGAAAAACGTTTAATGACATTTCTTCTTCATGTCTCCAGCCTCTGGCAGTCTACGGCTCAGGGAGTTTGATACAGTTGATATCCCTTAAGATTGTAACCATCTTGATGGATTTTTTTTTTTTCTTCCATTAGTTTGTTCTGATCCTTTTTGAATCCATATAAACTTTTGGCATTCATGATATCATGTGGCAAGATCACTTCGATTTATAGATTCTCATAATTTTTGACAAGCTAACTGCTTGAAATGTCAATATTGCTACCTCACATTAATGTTTCTGATTTAAACTAATAGCGTATATCCCACTTGAGATACTATGTGTTCTTAATAAAGTACTACATTTGTGATACTGCTTCCGAGTTAAAATTTCCCCGAAATTTCAAAATTGAGGCTTTCTGTCTTAGAGGCTACATCCATGTCTTTAAAAAACACTGTTGTAAGTCATGATAGGAAGAGAAAAAAGTGTTTAAGCACAATACTGTTAAGCTTATAAACTGGCATTTGAAAACGTGGCAATAGAAGACTTAAATGATGTGAGTACAGCCATGATTACATAAATTACGGTGTGCTCGAACTCTCTCATAACTTCAATAACTTAACATAAATGTTACTAATACATTTCTGATTTTGCCTGAGGAGTTTGTTTCCTTATGGAGAAGCCAGGAAGAACAAAAAAACTCTTCTGTTTCCATGCCATTCCAAGCTATTCAAATACTAAAACTTCCAGTGACTTAGTTGAGTTCTAGCCATTGGGCAATTTGATCAAACTTAATTTTTTTTTTCTTTTCTTTTCAGATTTACTTAGTCTGTGTCACATGTAATTTTTCTGTCACTTTCCTGCTCTTTTTCTCTCCTTGTTCCTCTCCTCTGTCCATGCAGCAATTTTGAGTCTTGCTTATTTTCTCAAGTGTTTATCAAGGATGTTTGAGAAACAAAGATTATTAACCGCTTTTGTTTTTCATAGATAGACCATGGTGCGTATCAGCACAACAGGGATAAATTCTGTTTTCAATTCCCTGCTTCTTTGTTATCCTACTGACAAAGATGATGTAGACTGTTTACTCACAAATGTTACCTTCCATATTGTTTATGCAGAGTCAAATCTCTGATGGATTTTGATTTCTGATACAGAAAATTTTTGCTCCCAAATGTTTCTCTTAATTCTCAGGGTGCTTTTAGCCGCCTTGACCCGACAGGCACATTTGAGAAGAAAATGATTGAGAGGATTCCCTGTGGCCGTCTGGGAACTGTAGAAGAAATTGCAAATCTTGCTGCCTATTTCTGCAGTGACTATGCAAGCTGGGTTAATGGAGCAGTAAGTTTTAGTTGATCTTGTTTATACAATTAACCTGATGATGGTCTGTGTTTTGCTGATATTTCTGAAACCAGGGCTTAAAAAAATAAAAGAAAAACTGTTAATTTGAAATTCTTTACAAGCATAATTGCCCTTTTAATTGTAATGCATGGTTCTTTAAAAAGAACACTTTTAAAAATGGTTGAATTACATTTTGAACATGGGTTTTTCTGATCCAAATCAATAAAAATTAGTTTCACAGTTCATAACAAGAATGCTACAGAAAACCCGCTATTGTTAAAACACTGCTTATGCTTTTTCTAGGTTATTAGAATGGATGGCGGAGAATATGTTTCTATGGCAGGAGAATTCAATGATTTGAAGAAGGTATTAAATTCCTTGCTATTTTGCATTCAAACAGATACTTAAATTTGTATTTATTATGTGGAATTGCAATAAAATGCTCTTTTCTTTTTTTAGGTTACCAGAGAGCAGTGGGATATGATGGAAGCAATGATTAGAAAAACAAAAGGCTCTTAAAGTACATAACTGTGCGGTGGGATTTTTGGAAATTAATCACTACTTTTTCATCATTATTTAGAAATAACCACTTGAGAAATAGCCTTCAAAATCTTTTGTATACTGATTTCAGTAAAATATTTTGAAATTGTCATTTTTGAATATAGCATGTATGTTTTTCCTATCTACAATCTAATCCATTGCCAATAACGAACAACAGCTGTTCACTGAAATTTTTAGATTAGGTCCTATATAGCCTTGCCGAGGTCTACAATTAGCTTTCATTTTTTATTCCTTCAGAGGATTTTTTTGTTTCTCAGATACGTCTTTTAATGTTGTAATTCCAGTAGCACTTCAGGACAGTCATAACTGAATATAATTGTTAATCTGAGGAAATTAAGTTCTAATCTTCACACTTCAGTAATAAATCCTAAATTTGTGAATAACAAACTTTCAAGTTATCAGCAGGACTACATATACTGACGTAAGATGTAACTCCTGTGGTTACTTACAAAATCTTGAAATGCATAACCATCTTGGTCTCATCTTTTGCTGACATTTTAAGTCTGTTAATTATCTTATGCCGAACTTCAAAAATGGCATTTAAGGACTTGCAGAGCCTTTCTAAGGAGCTCGCTCTTTGTCATGATTAAGTTAATGTTCTTGAAAATGAGAAACTAAAACATTTGCTATGAATGTTTATGTGACTAGGGGAGTCTCTCTGTATAAAATGGTTTACTTAAGACTAGTAAAGGACAGCAGTAAATTGGGACTGAAAGTCTTGGTTGAGATTTACAGAAATGCCTAGGTTTCATTTGCGTTCACAGACTGGTACTAAAGAAGCTTTAAGATGGCATTGCTGTTACTGAAATGGTAACCAAGAAAACTCGCCAAACTAAGCAATGGTTTACAAAGCTGACATTAGTTTATTGCAGCGCTGCGTGCATGGGGAATTTCTCCTCCCAAAGTGCACACACAGCCCCAGGATAGAAACTTAGTTATATGTTGTAATTGTACATATTCATAACATTTCCCCAAAACTGTATATATTCAGTGTTACTCTCTTAAACGATTGGTTAATTATCTCTCGCCTAGCATGTAAATTACTTCACGTGCTCAGTACTTTGCCTCTGCCCTTTTCTTTTGAGTCTGGGGCACATTTAGGGTAGGTGGTCCGTGAGTTGATGGTTGCCGTCTCCCCCTGCCAGAATTACCTTTCCCCAGTTACTGCTGCACATGCTGACAATCCAAAACATGGTAACTAAGTTTATACATTTTTTGGGATGTTGTCCATTCAAGGATAGGCAAGTCTTGATAGGGAGTTTCTCAACTAATCACTCTTGACAGCTTCAAGGATGATCATCGTGTTCTCAGACCTTGTGTGCATATCTGTTTTCTTTAGATACATGCAAACAGCCTACTAAACCTTCCATGCAATCGTTCACAAAATTTAACTTTTTTGTATTATATTCCATATTTTGGAATATATTACCTCTGAATCTAGTCAGTTTACCCATCTCAAATAAGCAAGTTATTAAAAAAAACACCCCAAAACAAACAAAACCAAACAAGCCATGTTTATTGATGTCCCTCTTTTAGTATTGTTGCATTTTCCAGATTAGGAGGTTCCCATTTCTTTGTTCCTCCCGCTTCAAACAATGGATGGAATTCTTCAAAGAAATTAACAGGCTGTATTGGGTTTGCATGGCAAGGTTTTGATAGCTGGTGGGCTACAGGGGTGGCTTCTGCGAGAAGCTGTTAGAAGCTTCCCGTGTCCAACAGAGCCAATGCTAGCCGGCTCCAAGACAGACCCACTGCTGGCCAAGGCTGAGCCCATCAGTGATGGTGGTAGTGCCTCTGGAATAGCATCCTTGAGAAGAGGGGCAAAAAAGCTGCACAAGAAAAAAAACTGCAGCTGGAGAGAGAAGCGAGAGAAAGAACTCTGCAGACACCAAGGTCTGTGAAGAAGGAAGGAGAGGCGGTGGTCTAGGCACCAGAGCAGAGATTCCTCTGCAGCCCGTGGTGAAGACCATGGTGAGGCAGGCTTTCCCCTTGCAGCCCATGGAAGTTAACAGTTAAGCAGAGATCCAGCTGCAGTCCGTGGAGGACTCCATGCAAGAGCAGGTGGATGCCTGAATGAAAGTGTGGTTCCATGGAAAGCCCATGCTAGAGCAGGCTCCTGGCAGCACCTGTGGAGAGAAGAGCCCATGCTGGAGCAGGTTTGCTGGCAAGACTTACGACCCTGTGGAAGGGACCTACGCTGGAGCAGTTCATGAAGAACTGCAGCCTGTGGAAAAGACTCACGTCAGAGAAGTTTGTGGAGGACTGTCTCCCACAGGATGAACCCCACACTGGAGCAGGGGAAGAGTGAGGAGTCCTCTCCCTGAGGAGAAAGGAGCAGCAGAGACAATGTGTGATGAAACTGGCCACGACCCCCATTCCCCATCCCTCTGCATCACTGCAGGGGAGAAGGCAGAGAAAATCAGGAGTGAAGTTGAGCTGTAGAAGGAGGGGTGGGGGAAAGGTGTTTTAAGATGTAGGGTTTTTTCTCATTACCCTACTCTGATCTGATTGGTAATAAATTAATTTTCCCAAGCTGAGTCTGTTTTGCCTGTGACGGTAATTGCTGAGTGATCTCCCCGTCCTTATCTTGACCCTCAAGTCTTTAATTATGTTTTCTCTCCATTGTCCAGCTGAGGAGAGGGAGCAATAGAGCCGCTTTGGTAGGCACCCAGCATCTGGCCTGGGTCAACCCACCACACAGACTCTGGCTTTTACAGCCTGAAATCCATGCCTTTTTTTCAGTTGTTTAACCTGAGCTCCAGACTGTTCACATGTAGAAACATGGACATAGCTGTATGTGCTATGAAATCGATACAGTGATGGACGAGTCAGGAATACAGAAGCAATTCTGGCATGTCTTCCTTCAAGTGCTGACAGTGGTCTTGACACTTTACCCACACTTCTGGCCATACTTGCATCTGACACTGAAATCAATTGATTGCCTTAATACAAAGCTGAAGCAAGCTGATATATGTTCTGCTGAAAGAATGGACTGTATTAGTGCAAGCTTCCACTTTCCAGCTTTCTCCTGAGAGTGATAGTCCTGTGAGGGATTGAGTAGCATCTGTGCCAGATAATAAAACAAAGCAACTATGTTTATCATAGCAGCCTTCAAGGTGTCTCTTGAACATAATGTGAAGCATTTTTATAGCATCTTGGGTTTCGGTAGGTCTACTGTCAAGATGAAATTCTGACATGATATCCATGTCTTTTCCCAGAAAAGTGATTTAATTAAGAAGTTAGGCCCATATATACTGTTCTTTGCTGGTCGTCCTTTCATGTACTTACATTTTCTCTTCATACGGGGCACAGTTGCATACAAGGCTTTGACACGGGGAAAAAATGGTTTCAGAAAAAAAATTTCAAAGGTATGTTTGTGAGCTGCGGTATGATCAAGTATTTCTCTGTGGTATTTAGTAGAGTATCCTCTGGAGATGGGCTATCAATAAAAATAAATTCTCACTGGTATCTTGCATCTGTGAGTGTGTACAACTACTATAGGAAAGTTTATCATGTGGTTGAAGTACTGGACTGAGGTGGAAGATACCAGCTGTGTTCAGTCTCCAACATTGTCACAGACTTTGGGAGACCTAAAATTATCTCTGTTGCATCTGAACAGTAGGGTAGGTACACTGCTGCATTCCCTCAGGAACTGGTCATCTGAAGCAAGGAGACCGACGTGTTCCTTTTAGCTCACAAAACATAGGTCCTGGGTGGGGCGCAGGTGGAAAAGATCAGGAAAAGAGGCCCATTCCCAGTCTCAACATTAAGTTAGGATCAAGTCTGTAGTTGGCTTTGGGGGCTAGAAAGCACTGCTGACTGCCACGTATTCTTAATCCATCTCTCTTCCCTGCATATAAATTAATAGTAATGATACTTTGTTTTTAATCTTGAATACTTTTTTAATAATCCTATGTAAATCCTATGTACTATGTAATGTGTTTTTTAGATATTGAAAGCAGAGGCATATTTTGGTGGGGGTGGGGTTAGACAGAAAAGGAAGAGCAGAAGAGAAAAGAGAGATAAACCTAGCCCTGCTATGATTATATTTTTTCCAAATACTTCAGCAGCAAGTACCACGATGGTTAGATGTAATGCCTACTGACAGAGTAAATGCCAGAAATCCATTATACAGCTTTAAACACACAGACCCACTCTTCTTTGGCTCAACCAGCAGTATAATATTTCTTTGCTTGCTTATGTCCTTTGTGTAAAAAGTAAACTTTTCATGAAGAGTTCAGTTCAGACATGTTTCTCTTCCATAGCGAAAGGCAGTGGGTTCCTATGCAAAAGCACTTAAAAGATTTTCAAGTGCTTTTGCAGTTTAAAATGAATACTGCTTCTTGACCTAAAAGTGAAAAATGGAAAGATCTTAGTCTTTCCATCGTTGCTTTACTCATCAGAGAGATTCAGGTCAACTTTCCATCTACGAGAAACTCACTTCAATTTGTAGTGAGCGTTTCAGAGGCTGAAGCTGTTTTCTGAACCACCAGGGTTACTGGAACATGTCCTTTAAGAGTGGGTTTTCTGTCTTTTCTTTTGGTAAGATCAGGTTATTGAAGGGAGGCCTCTTAAAGCCTGTCTTGTAAATAGATAGAAAACATTTATCACTTGTAGAAACAGGTATTGCTTCTAAAGTATCTTCTTCTACCTGTTTACTGTCCATAGCTAAATGAATTATTAATTGTAAAGTGACAACAAAACATTTTCAAAGCATATGTTATTCAATGGTAGAACCAGAAAGCACAGTTCAAATTTTAATGAGCATCTATAATAAGAATAGAGTTTATTTTGTCTTACCTATACCAACGACATCCATTTCAAACTATGCAAGTTAGTTGCTTTTAGATTCTGAGCATTCTGGCATGACAAGATATATACAATGTGTTGATGCAGGTTTTAGAAATCACCTATAATGTTTTAAAGAGTTATATGTTACTGAATAGTTTAGAAAATATTTCCAAATATATAGACTTAAGTCAAAACCCAACTCTGATCTAGCTGTCCACTTCTGCAGGAGAATGGAATAGTCTAGCTTGGATTCATTTCCTTCATTAAAAGCGTTGTTAGACTTGCTAGTGGCAGGAGAG